TGACTTGACTATATTAAATGATAATTTGCCTAACAACTTTAAACTGCTGCATTTTAAAGGTATGCTTTCCTTCTCTTTGTAGAACCAAGATAACACACACCTGTGTTATAAAGCCCTGCTTAAGAACACATTTATTGCCCCTGGTTTGTCTGTGGAGAAGGTTTTAGAAACATTCTTGGTACCATCCTCAGCTTGGGGGTGCAACCAGTGTGACCTGAACAGACACTAAACCTCAAAGAGGCACTTAGGGGACAACCCGAGGAACTCAAGTGGAATAAACCGCCGCAGCCCAGATGGTTTCATCTCAGAATTCAAAAAGAAGCCGAGTGTGAGACAAGCCGCCATGGCAGACAAGGACACTTACAGGTTGTAGTGCATCGAGCACGCATGCTCACTCACCCTGCCTCTTAAACATCAATGCCATCATTTTGACCATCAATCCCTTAGATCTTATTCTTTGGTTGTAGAGCTCACAATTTTTAAAAAAAAAAAATATTTTATTGATTTTTTACAGAGAGGAAGGGAGAGGGATAGAGAGTCAGAAACATCGATGAGAGAGAAACATTGATCAGCTGCCTCCTGCACATCTCCCACTGGGGATATGCCTGCAACCAAGGTACATGAAGTTAACCGGAATCCAACCTGGGACCCTTGAGTCCTCAGGCTGACGCTCTATCCACTGAGCCAAACAGGTCAGGGCTAGAGCTCACAATTTTGACTGTTCTCACAAAATAGAAAGAAGAAATCTTTCACTTACTCTTTTAGTTGTTTGGATTCGTCTCACCCCATGTGGCCATGAAAGGGAGGCTGATTTCAGAACTCTCCAGGGGAATTTAAAAGGGGGAGCAGACTCACACCCAGCTCCGGAGGAACCACAGCGACTATCTTCCTTCTGCCTCAAAGCCCTTCCCAGGAGACCTTTTTATTCACCTCACTGAGTTCCAGCTGGTACCACTCTGCTGACTCCTGGTGCCCAGGAGCACCTGCGGGAGGTCACGGACAGAATCCTGGGGAAAAGGCGGTGGGTAAATGGGCAGAAGCAGCTAGCAGCACAAGCATTTATTACAGGACTAGCCAGGCTGCTCTGGAAGGAATTGGATCGGTGGTTGGATTTTTCTGAGGAATGTCTATGATCTGGCCACCCTTCCTCAGTGGTTTTCGCCCAGACGACCCTCAGGTGGTAAACTCACTTTCTCATCTGGGGAGAAAGAGCTGGAAGACACTGGACAACTCTAAATGCGGTGTTGTAGCACAGATCTCACTTAGCAGTGCCACACCATATTTTCCACTGGACTAATAGCAACTCCACACGGATATCCCACTGGTGTCAGTCCAAACCTGAAACAATGATCAGTTTATACAAATTAGGATAAACTACGAGTTATCCAGGCCGGCCAGTGTGACTCAGCTGTTGAGCATCGACCCATGAACCAGGAGGTTAGGGTTAGATTCCTGATCAGGGCACATGCCCAGGTTGCGAGCACGATCCCCAGTGGGGAGCGTGCAGTAGGCAGCAGATCAATGATTCTCTCTCATCATTGCTGTTTCTCTCTCTCTCTCTCTCTCTCTCTCTCTCTCTCTCTCTCTCTCTCTCTCTCTCTCTCTCTCTCTCTCTCTCTCTCTCTCTCTCTCTCCCTCTCCCCTCCTCTCTGAAATCAATAAAAACATATTTTAAAAAATAAAAAACTCCGAGTTATCCAAAATGGGTTGACTCTAAGAATGTTGGACTGAGGGAGTCTTTATACAGGTGTGGGTAGTTGTAGGAAAACAACAAGAGGTAATCCACATATGGAGGCGGTAATAGCTGAGCCATTAGGACGACCAGCCCTGAAGGAAAGGCGGGGAGATGTTTACTGCGATCCAGGAGTTTCACTGGAGAAGGCCACTCACAGAAACAGTGCCACTCTGTGCAGGGAAACACCAGCCCAAGGTGGGCCCTCCTGGAGGGACTGAAGGGAATATACACCCCCATCTCCTGCCACTTCTCACCATTGGCTGAACCCACTGGAAGCCTGAGGACAAGGGAACCTATATTTCAGATAGGTCATCTCCTGGGATGTGTGAGAAGTAGATACAGGTGGGAACGGATCTGAAGATAAGTGGCATGCTGCCCTTTTGCATTCCAAGTTCATCCCCCTCCTGTCTGGGCCAGTTGCCTAAATAGCACCATGGGTCACCTCGTGCCATAAATCAGAAGCCTACTCTTCATCTCTGCTGCTGCCATGGTCTTTACAACACAATTTCTCTGCAAACATGTAATCCCAAATCCCCGTCCCTTCTGGTTACGACACATTTATGTTCGTTCCATACTCACATCACCACTAGTTCTCTTCACAAGACTCTACTGTCACTCCTCCTACCTTTTCTTAGCAGTCTCTATCGTTTTCAGAAATTATTTTTTACTTCTTTGTTTTTTGAATCTCCAAGAGGACTCTGTTCAGTACTCTATCTCCAGCACCTAGTACAGTGGCTGGCACATACAGTGGCTAAATAAATGTGTCAAACAAATGAATTACTGCAGGCTTTCACTACTCATTGGCTAAACATTGCAGTACATTTGTAGGCAGTCTCCTCACCATCAGTTTTGTCATCTTTGGTCCATCGCTTACGCTTCTGCCAGCATGCCTTTTCTCATTCATAAATCTGATGATGTCACTTCCTTGTTTAAAATGTTTTTTGGCATACAAGTGAAGCAATCCATTCATTGAGAAATTTTTATTGAACATACAATATGTGTACAGGAATGGAAATCAGAGATGAGCCAACAGATTCAGAGTGCTTACCAGCGAGGTGTAGTAATATAAGGTACAGACAGCGCTGAGCAAGGATACCTGACCTCTGGGTGGGAAAGACTGTTAGAAAAGGGCTCCCAGAGGACAGAACAGTAAAAGGTGCGAGCCAAGTCCTGAAGAGTTCACAAACCAGATTTAGAATGTCCCAACTCCTTAGCATCATGTTTAAGAACCTTTACTGTCTCAGTCCTAATGCATGTCTTATATTTTATGTTTTATGTCCCATATTATTGTAATTCTTTTCCACTGATTTTTAGAGAGAGTGGAAGAAAGGAAGGAGGAGAGAGACATCGATGTGAGAAAAACACATCGATTGGTTGCCTCTTGCACTCACCCCGACCTGGGCCTAGGATCAAACCTTCTTCCCAGGTATGTGCCCTTGATCAGGAATCAAACCCATGACCCTTTGGTTCGCAGGCCGATGCTCTAACCACTGGGAAACACCGGCCTGGGCTTTCCCATATTATTTTAATTTGCACTTCTTGCTCCAGAGACAGCTGCCTATTTAGAATTCTCTAAATACTTCATGCTGATTCCTGTTTCTGCAGTTCTGCCCAGAATGGCTTGCTCACTCTTGCTAGCCTCAGAGACAAGATTGTTTTTAAGGGAGGGAGTCCTTCTCCTTCATGCTCTGTCCTTTTCTTGCTAGCCTCAGAGACAAGATTGTTTTTAAGGGAGTCCTTCTCCATGCTCTGTCCTTCCCTTCTCTGCTCAACACAAACATATTTCTAAAAGCAACTTGATTTCTTCCCTCAGCTTTCCAGAGAAGAGTTCACGTTCTCCCAGGCGTTAGCAAACCAAATTAAATGTCAGTTTTGGAGATGGAAATGCCCACATTCTCTTCACGTTAACTTAGAGTGTTAACAGCCACTGGAATGTGGAGAACTCCTTGAGGGAGATTTATAACTCACCAAGTTATTCCTTCCTGTTTGAAAAGATAAAGGAAGGCTTTTTTAATTACTCTGAGTACGCATAGCCAAATGTTAACTTCAAATGTAATTTAATGTAGATAATTTGATCTGAAGTGTAGTGAACAGCAATAGATGACATCAAACAGACAGAAAATGTTTGACCTTTAATTGTAAATACAGAATGTTACTAATTATTTGTATGCATGGGTTATTGAATATCTGTGCCTCTGTTGATGAAAAAACATAATATCTCATTTATTCTTATCAATGGATCCAAATATGATTGCACTTTGAAAACATATATGCATCAAAAACTTAATAAACAACTTTTCCATAATTTTTTTTATCACAATTATACTCTGATGTCAAACCAAGCTAAAAGTCACAATTTGGAAACAATAAAGTAACAAGTATCATGTTACCTTGTTATTGCAGAAGTTCATAATTAGCATAGAAAAAATTAAATTCATAAATAAATAAAAGATATTATTGTTAAGATGCACAGAGGTTTCAACCAATTAGTTGCTTTACAGCTTTATGAATAAAAAATACAGACATCAAGTTAAAAAGTAAAGTTCAACAGTATTAAATTTTAAAAAACCAAAGATACCACTTGTAATTTTTAAGACTAGTCATCTAAATGAATATGCTTAGGACTTTAAAGTCAATGCTAATAATTTATCTAATTTGTATATAAGATATACAAATAAAAACATACTAGGTATTTTTTAAAATATATTTTATTGATTTTTTACAGAGAGGAAGGGAGGAGGAGAGTGATAGAGAGTTAGAAACATTGATGAGAGAGAAACATTGATTCAGCTGCCTCTTGCACACTCCCTACTGGGGATGTGCCCGAAACCAAGGTACATGCCCTTGACCGGAATCGAACCTGGGACCCTTCAGTCTGCAGGCCGACACTCTGTCCACTAAGCCAAACTGGTCAGGGCCAAACTAGGTATTTTATTAGCATTTTTCTTTAGGCAAGTTAGTGGGAATTTTTTAAATTGATCAGAAAAAAACCCTGCTAATCATGTCATATTATGACGTAGCTAATTACCATTTTATAGATTCAAATTTTATCATGCAATAAATCATGTAGACTGTAATTTAAGACAACACTTTTTGCCTTCAAGGGCAATTCTGTAATTCTGTATTGGTCTCATAAAAGATATCACTGTTTATTTATAGTTAATAACTTATAAAGAAAAAATAAATCGAACACCTGTCATATTATTATACCTTACATTATTATCCTTAATGATACAATATCATTAAACCCTTCTTAACATTTTCTTTATTGATGATGAACAGGATATTCTGTTGACTGGCTAGAAAGACCTGCTTGAAAGGAAGTGATTGTTAATGATCCAAGATTCTTAATGAACCATGAGTCCTCCGGGTATTTGGCTTGGTGATCGATCTCTGGTTTGAGTTGATATTCTGAAGGTTCTACGTAAAAGTAAAAGCAAAAGTTAACAATTAGCCAATTTAAGGATTTTAAAAATGTATGTGTGCTTATATTTTTTGGTGGATTCTGTGCCTGGAGGGAAAAATGAATCAACTTCCTGAATGTAAAGACCCAATAGTAGAAGGTTCTATGGTCTTTCTAAGAGGTCTCATGCATTGAACTATGATTTCCAAGTAATCATTTGCAAAAAGAAAAAGAGTCATTTATTTTCTCAAATATTCGTGTTTTAAATTATTGGGTTCTCTGCAAATTTCTTTGAAGACTTAGGCTGTTTTAATTTAGCATAACATGACACAAATGCAAAAATGTTCATCTTTGCTGTGGAAAGGTGTTCACATGGATGCGGTGTGACTACCAGGTGAGTGGCACTCAGCCTTCCTTCATTGAGAAAGCCTTATTTACCTGCAGATGTGCGGTAACACAGGTTTGGTTGTTAATGATGCTTTTGTTTTACTTTATTCTTTCTTGCTATGATGGCTTTTACTTTTATCATTTCCTTAACCCAGAGTGTGGACCTTTCAGATTACAGGTCAGAATCAATTTTAAACTGTATGGAAAATAATTCATACAATTTTAAATTGTATGAATGATTTGCTTTAAAATACATATTGGAGTACATTAAGATTTTTGTCTATAACACTTTACGGCCATTGTCATGCAGTAAAGGGATATGCCTATGTATGTAGGCAAAAGAGGTAAAGTTACAGCTGATACACAGGGAATTTTAAAAGGCCGTCACCTTATTTATCTGTGGCACAACAGTACAACAGTAATCTGTGAAAACCCATGGGTCTGTGTGGCAGATGTGAACTTGATACATTATATGTGAGGCTAAAAAATAAAGATTGGGAACCATTAAAGTAAGAGTTTTGCTAGAGAACCATTTCTGCTTCTCTGCAACAATATGTCTGTGATGGACTATCTAGGCAGGCCCAGTGTCTGAACAGTGCTCTCAAACATTTTAAACCACATAAAGAAAAGTTGAATAAATTCCAAATTCTATTTTCCCCTTGAAACTGACTCTAATTATTTGGCCTTTAAACTTACCTTGGAATCCAAGAAATATATTCTCATACAAATATGACTTCTAAGGCATTGGAGGAAAGCAGTTTGTTTTGGTACTGGTATTGATAAGCATCAAATTAAATATTTAGAGAAGGTGGATTAACTAGGTGGATATGTTTAGCTGGCATTGCTGTTAAAAATACATATCATTGAATGTCCCTTGGCAAAGCATACACTCTACATGTGCCTGCGCCTTGGTATTGCCACATTTCTTCCCACTTTCATTTTATCTGCCATTATGTCAAGCACTAGAAGTCTGAGGTTTCTGGAGGAGCAGTATATGTACACGCATGACATAGTTCACTCTGTCTCCCCCTCTGGGGGTCATGAGATGAGAGATGCCCATTGTCTCCCTACTTCCTAGCCCTAATTTTACTGATGCATGTATTTTATGTTTGTTTACGCACACACACACACACACACACACACACACACACACAGATATACATGTATATATATATTATTTCTTCATTAACATTTATGATACTCAAATTATATACAATGATATACATAGGTATATGAATTAGCAAATCAACATCAATAATATTTAAATACGAGGTTATTTTTTAATTAAAGTAAGCAACTGCACACCACTTTATATCTATTTGTGAGTGGTCAATAAGTGGAAGATTTTAAAACCGTAGACATTTAGAAATCCAGAGACAGCTGTGACTCTAATCTTCAATCTCACATACCTCCTGAATCATTACTGCATTTGAGCAACAAAGGCAGCCAAGAAAAAGGATTTGGAAAGAGTGAATTAAAATGTCAGGCTGAAGTAATGTCTTCCTAATGGTACCCTGTGAGGCCTCCAATTATACAGACCTGGATGCTTGCATATTAAAACATGAATAAAATACATTAGCATGTAAGAAATGTGACTGAAGAGCACCCCTTTAGGTAAATATAAACTGTGTGAAGTACACAGCCGGTCCATTATGTAAGCTGATTAATCCTGCAAGTGATTGGAAGCAGGAAGGCAGCAAAGTTCAATTTGGATTTCATAAGAAAACCAGGGAAAAGATTGATAACACTTTAATTGGGAGAACAATACATATGCGTTTGTAAAATGCACGCTAAAAAATTCCCTTATGATCACATTTCCCTTACATAGGATGACTGAGAGTAACGTTTCCATGGACCCAGCCCACATTAAATGTTGATTTAGTAGGTCTTAATGGAGAAACTTTCATTCTCGGGCCCTGTGTGAGCTCTGCCATGGTGCAGTGTGTTTTAACAGGGCTGATTCACTTCCAGCCCTTCCCTTCTGGGTTGTATTCTGTTACCTCAGCTTGAACAAAACCACGAGAAGGATTCCACAGGTGACTGTCATGCACATGACGGCATAAATCACTTCTCCTAGAAACAAGATTAAAGGAAAATTACTGGATTTCTACAGAGAATAAATAATAAAAAATAGTACAGAGGTCTGATGTTTAACTGACCGTTGAAGGGGGAATGAAATCCATTCAGAGTTTTTTCCTTTGGTTGTTTTCTTTTTTGCAACACAATGCCTTTGACATTAGCCAGAGCTGAATAATCTGAAAGAAAATAATGAAAATGAGATTAAAGCATAAAGGAAAAGCATTATTTTTATCCCATGGATTGTAAATTGCTTTATATTGTAAGGCAGCAACTTATTTCTATGTTACTATTTAATAAAATATAATAGATTAGGATAGATTAGTGTGTTTCTTAAATTTTAACAGCTTTTTTCATCTTTGAATCAGATAATTTCCTTATTAAAAAAAACTTTTTAAAAGCATAATTAGAAAAAAATAACATTTTATAAGATAGTTATATATGTAAACTGAGGGGGGGGGCAAAAGACATTAACTTTAGGCTGCCATTGGGATATTGAAAAATATTCCTTCTTTACATGAGTGATTGTTTTAGTGTGCTTTTAATGATATCTTATTTCCCTAAGATCCAGTGTATTTATGAATTCTTACAAAGGAGAGTCTTTAACCCAATCACCCTGTTCACTTCTCTACTCCGATATCTCAATATCCAGCTCTACTTATTCCCATTATTCTGTTCCCTTTTTTAACCCCTTCAGTTTCTATTATTACCTATTTTCTACTCACTTAAGTGCACTCTTGGCCACTCTGTGACCCTAGTCTTCATGGCCATGTTTTGCAAGACACATGTTTACCTCACTTCACAAAACACAAGAAGAAAAGATGCAATCCTTAAAATGAATTGATAAAGCTATTTTAGATGCCTTTTATTAATAAGTTTGAAGTGAAATCACCCCTAGTCTTGATCCAGTTCAACACAAATATTGCCAAACATACCAATAACCCAATAATCCAATTTCTTTGATGATGATGTTGATCCAGATGAGTTTTGATGCATAAAAAAATTAGATAAAGCCTTCACTTGCAGGAGGTTTTGCTATCATCTGTTATACATGCTTTGTGCATTTTGAGACCTGGAAGTCCAAGTATGAGTAGATAGTTTTTTGCAGAAATGAGTGTATCAAGTAGCAGGATAGTATGTCCCATGACAACTAGTGACGTAGATAGTTTTTTGCAGAAATGAGTGTATCAAGTAGCAACTTGTGACTGTAGGCTCTGAGCGGGAAGGGAGATGAGAAGATACATTACCATCAGTTCCATTTAGTCCATTCTCTACCCAGGGATGCTGCTGTTCAGAGGCCAGCTCTTTGGAAACCAAGGTTTGAGGTCTGTGTTATGGATAATTGGTAGAGAGCACAGGACACAGACTGTTTCATGTTTTATATCAGTTACCAAACTCTCAGGGTGGGTCCAGGAGAAGCAGCCTAATATAAGAGCTAGAGAAGTAACCTAGGATTTTGTCATTAGAAACCCATTCCCAATGAGTCTAAACTTTAATCCAGTTAAGGTATTTTTAGCTCAAGATTTTTAAATCCCCAACTCACATATTGGGTTATCATGTAATGTTCATAGAAGTCTGACCTTCTTAGAAACTAAAATATCAACTTCTGAATGTGAAAGTGATAGAATTAGATAAGGCTTGTGAAAAATGTTCACTTTTATGGTTATAAAATAAATTTTGTCATTCACTCTAAAGTTGAAATGGAAAATTTGAGCTATTTCAAATAATAGCAGTCCTTTTTGGAAGAATTAGTTTCATTTAAATTAAGCATACAGATTTTTAGTTAAATAAATTATTATAATAAAATTATATTTAAATTAATTATGAATATGAAGGATAAATTATTTTGCTTTTTTAAAATTCAGTGGCATTTTGTGACCTTTTAGACAGATCCATGGCCTAAATGTAAATGTATATAATGTATATTGATTATTCAAATGGTGCTATAGTTTTCTTTTATGAAATTCTGTCTCTCAGTACATTTGGTCTAGTTAGGTATCATGATTTACCTTTGCATAAGATAAAAGGTATTATTTTGAAAAATTAGACTATCTTTTATGTATATGACTGCCTAAAGTAACCATTAAACGTTCACCTAGCAAAGTTTAGAAAGAATCATCTCATTCACTAAATTTCACTCACATGGAACTCATTAACAAGGTTCTAATAGATCAATGACAGAAATGCTAGCTAATGATCCCAGTGAAAATTTTAAAGTGTCTAGCAATCACTCCACAATCTTTAATATTGCACCCTAGGAGGATACCAAATATCAGTTAGAGAGATTAATGTTACAGAGGGTTTCTTGGCTACTGAAGCCCATTGGAGATTCTTCCCCAGCCTTTTATAAACAGTGAGGTTTACAGTGTTTTATAACCATGAAATTAAAGTCGTCAGACTTAATAACCAACCTCAGTCCCACACCATCTGCTATATTTATAGATAAACACTGTCAGTGACTTGTTTATCTTAACTTGCTCCCTAGAGGAATTAAACACTGTTATGAACTATATTGTAAAATCCCTGTACATTTGATGGGAAATCAAGATTAATTTCAGCTGTACATTAAGAACAAATTTAAATAGTATTCTTCCCAAATGAGCCACAGAGTTGTTATTATTTCTATTCTTTTCTTCCAAAATCCTTGTGCAGAAATGGCTGATGGAGACCAAAACTCTACTTATATAAAATGGTAAATGCAGTGTAAACAATGTGGTGGATCACATATGAAATAATGACTTAAAAATAAATGTCAGAATACCTGAAATAAAAATTAAACATATAAACTGCAAATGTGTAAATTTTCAATTAAAATTTTAATTAAAATATAACCTAGAAGGGTCTGCTTGGAAGAACTATTTGATAAAATGAAAATTTTCATAGCATAATTTAAAAATATATTTTGTAATTCAAGGATTACCTTCTTGCATATCCAAAGGTTGGTGCCCTTTATTAGTGTTAATATATTAAATTTCTAATTTGTTCAAGATTGTCTTATCTGAAGGCATATAAATTCCCAAATAGAAAATGAGTTTTGAATTATTTCATCTAATGATCAGGAATGAAATTTAATATATAATGGACTATTTTGATCATTGTTGTCTGAAAGCCCCCTTCTAAAATATACCCCAGAAGCATTGGTATTGGGACAAAAGGAAAATACATAAGCATCTTTAAATTTGAAAAATATAATACATTAGTAATATGATAAACCAAAGTATAAACACAGATAATGAGGATTCAATACCACTGCTGCTAAAACTTATGTTGTAAAACTAAACCAACAAGATAATATGCTTGCCTAAACAATCATGATCTGCATCAATAAGACATGCTCATTTATTTAGTTCACAAACTTCAAAGGAGACAAGACCATGTCTTAGGTTTATTTTCTACATTATGGCTAAACACATGGTGGTTACCAATCAGGGGCTGCAGGAAGGGGAAACTTGGAGATATTAGTCAAAGGGTACAAAGTTTTATTTATGCAAGATGAATAAATCCTAAAGATGTACTGTACACTGTAGTGCCTGTTGTTAGCAATACTGAATTGTACACTTAAAAATTAGCAGGAAGGTTAGACCTCATTTTAAGTATTCTTATCATACACATACAAAAATAATAAATACAGGGAATGGAAAGAAACTTTGGAGCTGATAAATATGTTTATGGTATAGATTTTAGTGATGGTTTCATTGTGTGTACTTATCTTCAAACTCATCAAGCTGCATTCATCAAATATGGACAGCTTTTCATATATCAACAAAAACAAAACAAAACCCACATAAATGAGTAAGTATGCACTCCAGAACATTGGTCTTGCGTTTTGACCTGAGCCCAAAAGCTCAGAGTTAGTAAATGACTATCCTGATGGTCCTGACTTCTGATGGTTTGACTTAAGCTTTTTTGACTTTATGAATGTGCAAAAGTGATACACGTTTAGTAGAAACTCTGCTCTCAATATCCTGGGCTAGTGATTTGTGGTATGATACTCTCATGAACTGGGCAGTGGCAGCAAGATGGATTTGCCCAATTGTAGGTTAATAAGTATTCTGATCACACCTAAGGTAGACTAGGCTGTGATGTAGGTTGGGTATATTAAATGTATGTTCAACTTATATTTTCAATTTATGATGGGTTTGTCAGGACATAACCCCATCCTAAGTCTAGGCGCATCTATTAACAAGCCTGACTCTTTGATCCTTGGTTGAATGACAGTTTTGTTCACATGTCTTGTAGATTTGTCTGTTGATTATATATATAAAATATATAACATGTAACAGGTAACATGTAACAATATAACATATAATAGTATATAGTATATAATATACATATATATAACTGTACTAATAAGATCTCCCAAATGTTCTGCATTCTTCTTAATAGTTTCTGCAAATAATGAAATAGTCACTGAAGTAGCAATGGGAATGCAAATTATGGTATTTTTAATAACTAACACTAGATTAGATCAATAAAGTATTATGATTTTAGAAGGAAATAATTTTACATCTTAGAATTAAAAAACCCACACCTGTCACCTATAGCTTTGGGCTCATACAAAACAGACCTAAAGATACTGATAGAGCCTAGCCAGTGTGGCTCTGTGGTTGAGCACTGACCTATGAATAAGGAAGTCACAGTTTGATTCCAGGCAATGCCCCAGGTGCAGGCTTGATCCCCAGTAGGGAGCTTGCAGGAGGCAGCTGATTGATGATTTTCTCTCATCATTGATGTTTCTATCTCTCTCTCTCTCTCCCTTCCTCTCTGTGAAATAAATAAAAACATATATTTTTAAAAAAAAATATATTGATAGAAAGTAGGAATAGAAGATTTCTGGTTAGAGCATCCTATATAATAAAAGCCTAATATGCTAATCGACTGAACAGTGGAACAATCAGTGGGCAGGGGGTGGGCTGGTGAGGGCGGCGCCAGGCCGGGGTGGTGCTGACTGCTCACCTGCCAGTGCCGTCCCCCCGATCAGCCCGCAGGTCACCTCCTGCAGAGGGAGGCCACTGGTGGTGGTGGCAATCAGCCCGCTGGTCGCCTCCTGCAGAGGGAGGCCAGACTGTGGCTTAGGCCTGCTCCCCCCAGTATATATGTAGATTTTTATAATTATATATTTGTATATATGTCCATACAATGGAAGAGAAAAATGCATGTATATACTCACGCAACACAC